GATGTGATTTCGTCGTATGAACCTGATTAATCATTTTAAGGAATTGTGACGAGTTGTAAAGTATTGACATGAGTGACAAAACTGGGTCTTTGAAGGTAAATTGTGATACATTATTTTTTATATAGTAATTTTGAAATGTTCAATAATACGTGGATAGCAAATAACGAGACTTCAACTTTTTGTGATAAATTATTTTTTTATATACTAATTTTGCAATGGACAGTAATATGTGGGTAGCGAATAACGAGACTTCAACTTTTGAACTTTTGATGAACTTTTGACTTTTGACCTTAACTTTACATCCCTCAATTTTTCGATTTTATTCGAATAAGTCACTTAATAAAAATTCTGCATATTCAAGACTTTTTGTATTTGGTGTTTGGAGTTATTTTTGTGTGATAACTTAAACAGGTATTAACATTTTGTAAGATTTAGTGAACGTGCATATTGTCATATGGAATTGCTAAAATTTCCTTTATTATTAATCTTTCTATTAATTATTTCACTCTGTTCATCAATTGCTTACTTTTCATGAACTATTTGTACTAAAGTTCACATGAAGGTCATATCATAAAATTCTTGGATCTGTCATATTTTCAAATATTCTATGACAATGAAAATATGTTGCACCATTTAAAAAACGTTGGTCACACTAAAATTTCGAAAAGAATGACCTTGAAAAATATTTCTGAATTATAATAATATTTGAGAGTCTAAAATAATGTTTTCTTCAGATATTTAACTCTTTCATAAAATATTTTTTATTTTAAAGAAGATGTTTAAGGTGATATTTCAATCACCGAACACTTGTTGATATACCGATAAAAAGTCAAACAAAACTGATGTCTGAAGAGATAGCTTTTTATTTCCGCCACTTGAAGTATTCTAAAGATTGTTGACTTTTTCTGTTCGAGATAGTAGAGGAACTCTTTCAAGTATGAAAGAGGAAAAAATAACAGCAGACTTTTGAAATGAAGAAAAAATGAAAAAAGAGATTCTTTTTTATAATATTGGAATTAAAGTGAGTTCGATCGAATGAACAAGGCAGATCAGAACTTTTCATCCGTGGAAAATTGTTTTCCAGAGATAGGATCTTCTTTTATCGGAATTTATTCAAGCTTTTTGACAGATTTATATAGATGAAAGTAAAATTGGGTTTTAGAATTCTATTGTGCACTTAACGATTAGATTCGTAGAGATTATAATGACTTTATAACTTTAAAAAATCAAGAATTAGAAATTTAACCCTTTGCATTCCGTTGTTCCCTCTGAGGGGACATTTTAACTGGCAAAATAAACTTTCGGATTGCAAAGGGTTAATATAATAAAATAATTTGTTGTAATTATTTACGTATGTCAAGGCGATGACAGAATCGTTAAATACTATTAATACTAATTATTAATACTAATATCATAGTTTAAAATATCAATAACCAAAAGGATAAAGTTAAATCTTTGAAAGGAACCACGCCTCAAGATTACACATGTAAATTATGTTTTAAAATTAATTAGAATACTGTTGCACAAATTGAAGAATAATTGAGGATAGAAATGATGCTTCAACAAAAAATTAATTACTTCGTTGAGCATTTTTAGTGTTGAATTTTGTTACAAAATTAACTAAGTGAAAGGTTAAAAATATTAATAGTTAAAATTGAAAAATTTTATCAAAATTTTAAAGAAAATAGATTTTAATTAATAAAGAACCGTAATTTTAAGAAAATAGATGCAGATAGATCCATTAAATTTATTTTTTAAATAAAAATACAGATATGCGTAACATCTGACAAAGAATAACAATTTTTATAATATTAATAATTATATTTTTGAAAACATTACGTCCTTTAAATACTGAATAATGAATAGTTGAAATTATTTTTGTTTGTCATAAAAAACTGCTTTACAAATAGAAAAACGTTCAAATTTAGTTTTTTTGAAAACGAAGTTGTACATGAAGAAATATTATACAAAAATATACACATTTTCAGTTTATTTCTGTTGACAGAATTTCTTTTTGATTTGCACGATTAATACTGGAATCCACATGTGTAAGGTTACCGCATATGGAACAATCTGTGACATAATGACTTATGAATATTAGTAAAATAGTTTAAGTAACCATTTTTACAAAATTATTTGAAAAGTATCAAAAATATTTTGGTTTGTTTAAATACTTTTATTTTTCATTTTTCTTTTCTGGAAATCTACCCCTAATACTTAATTCGAAAAATGAAAAATAATAGTAATTACAAACAGCAAACGCACCAAAAATAAATAGGTTTACGGATTTAATAAAAAGTTTAAATTTTGATGAATTTTAAAAATAGATTCTTCCAATGAAAATAATTTTGAGTATGTACCTCGTTATCTGCTAGCCACGCAATGTCTGTAATTTAAAAATATAAAAGGATTTTAAATTTTGAAAAATATTTTACAGATCTAATTCGTTTTTAACCCAGTTTCGTTCAGTTAACCCATTCGCAACGGGTGACATACTGATTAATTAATAATTGACTTAATTAAAAATTAAATATCGTTGGTATTAATTAATTATTTGGTTAACAGATGACATTAATAAATCAGTAAGTGAAAACAGAATGTAGAAAACTCTTATTATCTAACTCGATAGAAACGTATCTAAAGTTACAGTATTTTATTGTATATCAACATACCTACGGATACGATTAGTACATAGTACACATTTATTAAATACTGCAACAAATACGTACAACGAAAATTTACTTTGTGTCAAGAACCGATTTTAGTAAAATATTTGAGTGTTCAAAAAAACATTTAACTCCTATTTTTTTAATCGGTGCTTCATATATAGAGGATGAAAACAGCCATTGAATTTCAAAATGAAAATATAACTTTCACAATATTTTTAAATCATTCTATTATACAAAAAAGGTATATGAAAATTTGTTGTTTTACAATGAAAAATTTGACTACATCTGTTTTGTAAAATATTTATTTATTTATAGATTATAATAGAAGTTACTATTTTTTATTCACGAGTAAAATGATGCTGCTTTTGTGTAATAATATTATATTACAATGCAACATATTGTAATAAAATATAGTACAATATAATACATATAATATCAAAGCATAAACCGTAAATAATAATCTACATAATTTTTAGAATAATGACATTCGTTAAAAAAGTGAATGAATTATAAGTGTTTCTAATGGCGCAGACATTTTATTGCCAATAATATATTTATGCAAAAAATTCAATCATAAATAATATACAATATTATATGTTTTTGTAATCTGTAATTTGGAATGTGTTATCTTGAGACATACTCGGATTTATATTATTAAAATATATTAGGGGTACCGAAAAGTAATCAAAATTTTGTTTGCTGGCGAAAAATAATTATTTATTAAAGAAATCTTAAATCAACAAAATAATTTCCATCACTTTCTAACGCTTTTTGCCAGCGTAAAGGCAATTGTTCCCTTCCTAAAAAAAGTCCTTCGATTTTTCATAGAAAAACTTTGAAATCATCGAAGAAGTTTCGATTACTTTTCGGTATCCCTAATAAATATAAAATGGTTTTTACTATATGTACAAATAACTAGTACGATACAGGTTACAGCATATTTGAATCACAAGGACCGCGAATTCGCTATACGACATTTAATAAAATATGTTTAATTAGAAATTTATCTCTATACTTAGAATTAATTGATAATTAAAATAAACAAAATTAGATCAAAGCAGTCATGTTTCGACCATGGAAACAAACAAAAATATTAACTTTTATTAAGTATAGTCTTTAATTAAATATATTATATTGCAAAACCGTTTATGCAATAAAATTTACCACTACAAAACAAAATATTGTTATATACATTTTCTGTATAAGAAAAACATTTCAAGGTACATATTAAGAAAAATACATTTTCCATCCCCAACTTCAAGAGCTGATTTAACCCTCTAAATATGAATACATGCTGATAAAAAAATAAACATAAAATATTTTGTTGAAAATTGTAAGCTATGTTTCATTAAAATCGGTTAACACTTGCGAAACTACCCTTGTTATTACTCTTGCACGTGCAACTGACATTGTTGCGAATGGGTTAATAATAAATGACTGTAGTCATCATTATATGTGACATTAAATGAATGACATTCATGTTTACTGGAAACCTAGAAGTTATTATGGTTTACTAGAAACCTAGAAATTATTATGGTTTATAAGAAGCCTAGAGTTTGCTATGGTTTACGAGAAACCTACAAATTATTATGGTTTACAAGAAACCTATAAATTAATATGGCTTACGAAAAACCTAGAAATCATGGTTTACAAAAAATCTAGAAATTATTGTGGTTTACAAGAAACCTAGAAATCATGTTTTGCAAAAAGCCTAGAAATTATTATGGTTTACGAAAAACCTAGAAATCATGGTTTGCAAAAAATCTAGAAATTATTGTGGTTTATAAGAAACCTAGAAATTATGGTTTATAAGTAACCTAGAAATTATCGTGATTCACTAAAAACTTAGGAGTAACTACGGTTTACAAGAAACCTAGAAATTCTAGTGATGTATTAGAAACTTAGGAATTACGGTTTACAAGAAACCTAGAAATTATGGTTTACAAGAAACCCAGAAATCATGGTTTACAAGAAACCCAGAAATTACGGTTAACTAGAAATCTAGAAATTATGGTTCACAAGAAACCTAAAAACTCGGGTTTACTAGAAGCCAACGAAGACTCTTAAACACCTAACAGAAAGCGTAGAATGTGGACCAAACCTACAACCGACTTCCAAAGTAAATCAACACGAGTCCACAAGGACTGACATAGTCTCTTTATAGAGTCCACTCTGTGAATATTTACGGCGAAACATAGAGGAACCATGAAATAGTCCTTCATCAGTTAGGGCACATCACTCGACGTGTAAGGAAGCGTGCTATGTCGGTAACGGAGGATTTGTCAGGGTTACACGAATGTCCATCAAAGGGAAGAAATCGAGTTCACTCACCGCGTTCCTGTGTGGCCATTGGAACGTCTACCACTGCTTTCTTCATTTTGGTGGTCGTCTTCATCTCTGGAGGTAGCCAGAGATTGGGGAGCAGAAGGGGGAGCACTGCTACCGGAATCGGGCCCTGGGCCCATTTTTGAACCGGAAGCACTGCTACAGCCCGCCGAAGACGTCGACAGACCACCCCCTCCCTGGCCCTCCTCGTTCTCCGCACGATCCACCTGCAAAATTAATTAATTATAACTATAGAACCGAATTGATTCCTAACACTAACATTACTGGCACTGATTACTAACATTAAACTAACATTAACACTAAATATTGTCAATGTATAACACTACAGTCCCTGACCATCGAATTAGGACCACTACAATTTTTAAATATTAATATACCTTGTATTTCTACTCTTTACTTCGAGCAAAATTCGAGTAAGATGATACTTGAACTGTGAGTGCCACGAGTCAGACTCGTTAGTGGCAAGGAGTTAGAAATAAAATAAAAATACGACTAAACAAACGATGGACTATTATACATATCCATTTTTTATTCGAATAAAAATCGACATGCATTTCAACAAAGGCAACCCAACTTAACCTATAAAAATTAATTTTTCATCTTGCACACTCAAAATTTGCATACTCAAAGATCGCTGAATACAAAAGAAACCTTGTTTTATTTGTTTTAATATTCTAATAATGAATAATTAATTCTGACTGACGCATCTAACAAATCATACAACAGAAAGTTAATAAACATAACCTTAAAATAATTCGTGAATGAATTGAACCGTTTAATAATATTAATGTTAAACTCTCGTCATATTCCGCTGCAAATTTGAATACTACATTTAGATTAATTGTTGGTATTCTTGATCAACACTTTGAGATACCAACAGTACGCCAGTTTAACCACCTGAACAACCGATTTACCACGAAACATCCATTCGAACTAGAGTAACTTTAATCGAATTCATTGTGCAGGATAGGAAAATGTATTGTTATATGCGGTTGCCTGGTTAACCACTTCAAGAATGAAATTCATTCTCCTCGATGCTAAATATTGTACCGAAATGCATCGCTGAATTGTTGTGTATAATTAGTTATCGATAAACAGTTTGGTACATTGAATACGAATTTGAATGCCGGTTCTCTCCATGGTCCGCGGTTTGTTAGAACTACATATTGATATTTTCTTCATTTAAATTCATACTTTTTGAGTTTGTAAATGTTTTAGATCATAATTACGATAGGTATTGATGTGGTTACAGGTTTTTAGAGGAGGGAATTTTTTAGTTTTCCATATTTATTTTCATATTTTGCAAATTCCTAGATTTCCATATTATGGAATACCTAAATTTTTACAAAGTCCATAGAGTTCCATATCCCTAGATCTTCAAATCTCTTCTATATCGCTAAATTCTTACGCCTCCAAACTCATACATCTTCAAATTCCTAGATCTACGAATTAGTATTTCACCAAGTTTCTAGATTCCTAAATTCTTAGATCGCCAGATCCTAAATTCTCTAAACCTTCAAATGTTTAAATGTCCCAATTTCCAAATCTCCGAAACTCAAACTTCTCAAATGTCAACGTCTCCAAATTCATAAACTCGTCCTAAAATTTGTGGATCTTCAAAGATTCCTAAACATCCCGAGGTCTCTTCCGTCATGCTTGCCATATTTCCTCCAGGGAAACAGAGTCGCTGTCGACCGTAGTCCTCGTAATATCACAGTTTAATTATCGTTCTTTCAGAACATACAAAACGCTCCAAACAAAACACGCTTGGCTCATGTTCCTCGCGAGCTTCCCTCCTTTGTATCCTGTCTCCGGTTCGCCGTCGTTCACTGAATTAATTATTCCTAGCAGACGCTGATAATGGTCAGGAACTAATAGAAACAGGAAGCTGCCTGAACTTCTAATGTGTTCAATTAATAGCCTCCCATAAATTGGGTCAACGGGTTAAAGCAATTTAATTGTTCCCGCCAACTATCAAGGAGACTCGCTTTTCATCGAAACTCCGCCACTCGCCGATTCTCCGGGGACTTATTAATGACAATATCGCTAGGTGAGCGGTGGTCGAATAATCAGATACAGTGGAACATCCTTTATCTGAATATTCTACTATCCAAACATTGTGTTACAGAAACGTTTCATAACTGAGCACCGAACATGCATCGTCGCGAGCCTCCAGGGACTGAAAGGTCCAAGCTATGCTTCGAAATGGACCACCTCTTGGTAAATTAATATTGGATGACGGTTTCTGGTAGCGTTTACACTCGTATCAACAATGAAATGCTTGAACGATTAACCTTTTAACAAGCTTCTCGACAGTAGAATCAGTCAGAGCCACCTAATTATTACTGCAGTGTTAAAATGAATAAAGAATGTTAGGTATATTTTGAGAATCTTCAATTATGTAAGGTACAATTGGAATTCAAAATACAATCTTTGTGCAAACGTATAGGATTAATAGTTTAAAACATTGTAAGCACGTAACATGTACATAATTCAAATTTCGCGCGCAACACTCCATATTGTTTTTCTGTTTACGTCTTCCACTACGTCTCCCCATAGAACTGAAGTCGAAGATAAACAAATTAAGAAAAATATATATATTACTGTGATGAACTGATTATGTCAATATAATAGATAATGTATGAATAATTATGACAGAATTATTTAAGGCTAAATAGTTATCTTTAAACGTATTAACCCCTTAAATTACAAGTTCTACAATCGCGTCAGTTAGAGCCACGTAATTGCTGCAGTGTTAAAATAAATAAAGAACGTTAAAATGTTAGGTATATTTCAGATTTGGCGACTTTCAATTATACAGAGTGGCTCACCACATTTTGGCATCTAGATTTGCGATATTATTATTACTTATAGCAAATAATGTTTCAGATGAGGTTGAATGGCTTGAGGAAGGCATATTCTGGTGGTATATTTTTTTTGTAGGTGGACGTGTAAAGGACATATGAAGGTCATTAATGTTTTTTTAAATGGAATCATATATTCTTTATTGCATCAGCTGATACTCCTTCATACTCTTTACAAAAAAGTATTAATCTATTTATGTGAAAAAATCATTAGTTTAGGAGATTTTTTAATTTTAATGTCTAAAAGTTAGTCCAAAGTTAATCCAAAGAAATTAACTGGTCAAAAATGTGTTTTTAATAAGATGGTTCTCTCAACGTCATTTAGATGATCTTGAAATGTGTTTGTCATCAAGACAATTAATGTACGTTTAGAGAGGTATTCTCTTACTTCAAACAATCTAAAATTTGAAAGATCTGAGAACTAGTTCAATGTTAGCTACCTACGTTCGACGTATCGTTAATGGATGCAAATCGAAAGCAATTCGATTCGACAAGCACAAACAAGCTGAACTGTTCAAAGATACGTCAGCTCGAAGCAAATAAATCTGTGTATGAATATTCAGGTTTTTGTTGCTCAAAGGAATCGTTCCACCTGACAATTGTTTTACAATTCAAAACGAGACTTCCTAGAAGCGTTAAACGAAAATTCTGACAAAAATATGTATTTCCCGAGTTGTCTCCGATTTTTTTGTATGAACGTGTACGTTAACTTGTAAACAGAATTTCGTTCCGAAATTTTCTCCGAATTTTACAACGAGATAACCTGGAAACGATTTCGTTCAGGCTGACAGTTTTAGAACTGCGCATTGCGCGCTCCATAAGTACGAAAACGTAATACATACTTAAAACTTTGTGTTTTCTGAAATGTAAAATTTTGAAATTGTTAAATTATTAGCTTTTATGAATATGGGGTTATTGTAGCGGAACTTCAACTCGTGGAAACTTCGCATTCATAAAACTGAATAATTATGATACAGGTATATAAATTCTCAGAACTGTTGGATTCGTGAAGTTAATTAAAAATAATGGACCATTTTAAAGATTAATAGAAACATTATACAATTCTAGAATTTTTGTACAAAAGTGTGATTTGTAGAATTGTGAAAATGAAAAACTTGATTTGTGGAATCAGATTGTGGAATTACGAAGCTGTCGAAATGAAGCTGTAAAAAATTCTGAAAGTTACAGAAATACAATCTTATGTGTACATTAATGAAGTTAATTAAAAATAATGGACCACTCTAAAGATTAATATAAACGTTTGGAAATTTTAGATTTATAGCACAAAATTTTGATTTGTAGAATCTTTGAAGATGAAGAACTTGATTTATGGGATCAGATTATAGAATCACGAAGTTGTCGAAATGAAGGTAAACCAAATTCTGAAAGTTGCAGAAATACAATCTCCTCTAAAATTACATAGTTAAAGATTTTTTGAATTACAAAATTATAGCTGAACTAGAAAATTTAGTTGAACAAAATTCAAAAAATAAAATTGTAAGTTAGTAATAAACGTATTTTTCTACAATATATTAGAATTATGGACTCCTACAAAATCCCAGTTACAGTATTACAAAAGCACATAAGTAAAGCTTAAAAGATTCGTGCAATTATAAATCCATGGAATTATAAATTTCCTAAACCTCAGGATCTACAGAATTTTTTCCAGACTTGATTACAGAACTGAAATTGCAAAAACGAGCTGTAAAATTGCAGAATTATCATATCATAGAGTTACAGAGTTATAAAACGTGTTTCAATATAGAACAATTTAGACTTTAGACTGATGCAATATAAGGAACACGATATTGCATGGTAATAGCAGTATAAATCAAAATGGTGGAGTGATAAAACAGCTGAATGCCTAAGTAGCACTTCACTGAAGTAACTATGCAGCGGGTTATGTAGATTAAAGCAGTGATAGCTGAATAAAAATAGTAGAATGCGACCGTTATTCATTGTCAGCATTGAAAATGAACAACTTTTTACGCAAAAACATTTAGAAAGTGTAAGGTTGCGAAACCGAAACTACGTTATTCCATTTATGACTAAATTTCAAAAGGGCTCAATTAAACTTGATCTTAAAACGATTCTGAGCCTAAGAAAAAAATTGTTTATACACTGATTCTTCTGACACCATACAACTTCTCATAAATAGTGCAATTTAATTATTTTGTTCTTTCTGAACAGTTGTAACGTAGTTGAGACGTTAATACGAAACGTGTTCGAAGTGAAACGAATTTGAAGATTAAAGAATGTAGAGACCTCAGAGTTTCAGGAATTGAAAATTTAGCAATTTAGGAATTTGGGAATGTGAGAATTGGAAAAAGTAGAAATTTAGG